ATAAGATAGAGAAGTGATTGAGAAAGACACTGGCTTTAGTTAACCTCTGGCTTCTACATGTGCACACATGTATACATGCACACATACATCTACATACAAAGAAGAATAGAAATAAGCAATGATGAATACTTGAGGGAACCAAACTTCCCCAGGCAATATCTCTGCCCTCTGGAGGGATGGTTTTATGCCAGTTGTTCTTGGTGTGAAAGGCATTTTTCATCCTCCTGGTTCTATAATACTGGAGAACTTGAAAACTGGATCATCTGCTTGTTCTAGAAGGGAAAGGATAGGATGTGAAGAAAGAAGCACATCATATGCCCTTGCCCTAACTCTGCTCTTTTTCTCACCTCCAGGGTCCTTCTGTGTGTTGCAGTCTTGTGGCATTATGCAGGCCCCCTGCCAGTGACCCCAGGCTTTTTATGGCTGTGAGACATATTCAAAGTTCAGGGTAAGTGACCATCTTTTACCCAGGAAGTGCCAGTTCATCTTCTGCGGAAACAAAATGAGGTGCCCCAGGATCAGGAAGAGTTCCAAAGCTGGCAGGCACACGTCCAGTGTCACCTTCCATGACAGCTATATGAGTTTGACAGAGAGGTCCCCTCAGGGGTGGGGAAGATGGCTCAGTGGGTAAAGTGCTTACCTTGCATGTAGGAGGACCTGAGTTCACTCCTATGTTAAGAAAAAAAAAAAAAAGTCAGTCATGTGCTTGCAGTCCCAGGAAGAGGAAGAGACAGTTGAACCCTTGAGGCTTAGGAACCAGCTGGCCTAGCCTACTTGGTGAGTTCTGGGTTCCATTGAGAGAACTTGCCTCAAGAAACAAGGTGGATGGCTTCTGAAGAATGACACCCAAGGTTGTCCTCTGGCCTCTACACATGCACACAGAAGTACTCACATACCTGCATACACACAAACATGCATATACATATACATTGACACAAAAAAAAACCCAAGAAAATCCTGTTTGTGGCTGATTGTGGGTCATAGCTACAGGAAGGTAACCTAATGCAAAGATGGCCCAGTTTGTTTGTAGAAGGACCAAAAAATGTCCCTGGTCACCCTCCCAGGCTACAGTGTCATCAGCTGCTAAGTACCTCTGCTGTTAGCATGCAGAAGTAGCCATGGGCACTTGATAAACATTGGGGATCACTGTGTCCCCATGAACCGTTGTTTACCTAAACAGTCATTAAGATACAGTGTACCTGAGGGACTTGGTTGCCTTTCATCCTCTGTTGCGTCAAGGTTGGGTGTCATCTGTGCATCTGAGACCTCACTGAGTACCAGTCACTCTGACCCTGAGCAAATGGTTTATGTGGAAGAAACAGGACTTTTGAACTGGTACTCCTCCTACCTGCCAGGGAGCTGCCAGGATGAGACAAGATAGGCTGTGTGTGGAAGGGCTTCCTCCCACATATGGGGAAAACTCCCCTGCCTCCTCCCAGTCACCTTAGCTTTTATGCACTAAATGAAGGTTTACGGAGTGCTCTTTTGTGAGAAATGCGGTCTGTGTGCTCCTTCTGTGTTACAGTTGATGGACAAGCTGTTGAAATGTCTCTTTAGTATCAAATATGGATGAAGGGATATGCAGGTAGATTATGGCAGGCTAAAGATCAAATGCCAATGAAGAACGATTAAATTTCCTTTAATCATCAGAATCTGAGAGGGCTTTAAGATCTTCCACCTTTAATATAGGCCTTAATAAATAATAATGCTTTGGATGTCTGCAGTATGTTTGAATTTCACAAGTCTTGCATGTCAAAACATATAGACAGGCTAAGCAAATCTACTTCTCTGGGCCAGCAGTTCTAATTAAGAAGGAAAGTCAAACAAACAGCTCTGAGAATAGAGGGTGGAATCACAATCCCAATTTGTGGATTTTCTAGTGCCCCCCCCAACACACACAGAAAATTGTAGTATAATCTGAAGGTTTTTTTTATATCATTATATCATTTGGAAATTGTTTTGTTGGGGGATTTTTTTTTTTAATCTTTTTGAGACAGGGTCTCCCTGTAGCCCCAGCTGTCCTGGCACTCACTGTGTATACCAGGCTGGCCTTGAACTCACAGAGATCTGCCTGCCTCTGCCTCCCGAGTGCTGGAAATTGTGTTTTTATAATTGATGCTACCGTGGATAGGTATAAAGAGTTGCCTGTGTGTCCTCGCTCATAAAAGATAACTGGAAAGAGCAGTTTGTATGTTCTATTAGCTGCTTGGCCTGCTCAAGTCTGCTACTGCTTCCTTAAGTTCACATGATGGCTGCTGGCTCTCCAGCCATTGCTTCTAGATCCTACCAGGGAGAGATAGGAGTAGCACCCCAGCAGAGGCAGGTCCCTTTGCAGAGCTTCCTCTGAAGCCTCACTCGTGACTTCTTGCTCATGTTCTCTTAGCCAGCTCTTACTCTAAGGACTCCTGAAAAATGCAGCCTTAGCCATGAGAAATGTGGTGCCCCAGATGAATCTGAGGAAGGAAACGTGAGCGCTTGCTGAGCTACCCTGGGGGGAATGTACAAGAAGTTGTGAGGTGTACTTGTGCTGACTTGGTCTTGTTTGAGTTATTGAGTTCTAGTATTTCAGCCTATTTGATTCTTAGCAGAGATATGTGTCCCAGTAAACATGTTTGGATCCTCATGTTTCTTTCTTTTTTAAAAAAATATTATTTTTATTTTATGTGTGTGAGTATATTGCCTGCATGTGCGTAAATGCACCTGTGATGTGCAATGCCCAAGAAGGTCAGAAGAAGGTGTTGGATGCTCCTGTAACTGGGGTTACGAACGGTTGTTAGCTACCATGTGGGTGCTGGAAATCAAACCCAGATCCTCTTCAAGAGCAGCCAGTACTCTTAACTGCTGAACCAGCTCTCCAGCCCTGGATCTTCATGTTTCTTACAGTGCTATGTCAACTCTTAGACAAGTTGTATTTTAAGTGCCAGCATGATGTCCTAATGACATGGCTAGCAGATTCATACCTAGTGTGTGTGCGAGAGACAGGGCTCAGAACCCTGCTTTGTTCCTTTCTTCTCAAAGACAAAGATGTGACGACTTTTCTCCATCCATCCCTGCCACTGGCTGCTCTGCACGTCTACAGAACTCTTCCTGAGGGTGACAAGTGAGTTGCCCCAGTCCAAATGTTCTGTTTTAGATGGGCCTGTACATGATTCCGGTGAAAATTGCCACCTTGCACAATGAATAGAATGAGATTTGCCTGGGTCCTGTTTGTCCTCTCCCAGCCATGTGGGTGCTCATGAGCTGCAGGGTATTTGCTTGTTAACACAGTTATAATACTTGCTAAGGACACAGGACTGTAGTATGGCCAACACGGAATGTATTCAATGAAGTTCGGTTGGCTGAGATTCAGATCCCCGTTTTCCAATTAGTGTCTGAGTAACCCTTAATAGGCTGGAAAATCATTAACATCCCTGAGTCCTACCTGCCTCATCCAGAAAGTGAGCACAGGGCTTAGTACTTAGCACTAAGGCTAGCACTTAGCACTGAGCCTAGTACTTAGGGGAGAATCTGGTACCTGATAGAAAGTAAGACAGTATGGGCAAAGAGCGCAGCACAGATCCTGGTCCTTAACCAACACCATCATTGCTGGCTTACAGGTTTTGGAAGGTTAGAGTCTGCTGTTCTGTGACTGGATTATGGACAGTTGTCTGCTGGGTAGAAGATGCACGTTTCACAGCCAGTGTTTCTGGGCTGGTGTTCCCTTATAAATGAATCTGCAGTTTTAGAAGGCATAGGATCCAAGGACCCCCATCGCCGTAAATCCAGTTGAGCAGCTCCACTGACAGAGCAGAAAGCTCTAGGTTGTATTTGGATGGAGTCCCCCAAGATGTGCAGTTCTTTTCTTATTCCAGTCTGTGATCCCAGCACTGTCTGCTGGCTCTTGGCCTTTGGTCAAATTGCTTTTTCTTTCTGGGCGTCGGTTTCCTTAGTGAGGTGGGGATAAAGGCATCACCCAGCTCACAGGGTTTTTGCTAGGGTTAATGTGGTGCAGGCCAAACACTCTGTGCCCAGAGCCTGGAACATGGTGCCAGTGCTGTCAGTTGGATAGATCCCCAAGGGCTGCTGGAGTTCACAATGCACTTGTCTTGTTTCTCTACTTTACACTTTCTTTATTCTTTATTTCTTTTCTTTTTCTTTTTTATGATAATGGGGCAGGTGAGGAGGTGAGATAGAGGCTCAGCCTCCACAGTACTGAGATTACAGCATGCAGCCATGATACCCAGCTTGCACTCTTGATTTCGAAGGTGGCAAGGAAGACAGAGATCTGATTCCCAGTGATGTTTGTTTGTTCACATTTCATGAAGTGACTGAACTGTATGTAAAACAGAAAGCAAGAAAGAATGGGCTGCAGAGACGCTCAGTGGGTAACAGGTTAAGAGCAGTTTGTGCTCTAGCACGAGGACCTGAGTTCTGATCCCCAGCACTAGTATAAGAAGCCAGGCATGGCTACTCATGTCTGTAATCCTAGCACTAGAGGTGGTTAAAAAACAAACAAACAAACAAAAAACAAACCCAGCAGGTCCAAACGACAAACTCCAGGTTCAGTGAGTGACTCTGTCTCAAGGGAGCAAGGTAGAAAGCCATGGAGGAGGACACTCAGTACTCAGTGCCCATCTCTGGCCTCTGCATGTATGCTTGGGTAAGTGCATCCTCCCACATGTACACACATGTAAGGACCATGTGCCCATACACATACATGTACAAGTGAAAGGTGGTCTGCTTGCTGTTATGCTTCCTTGCTGACCATTGGCTTTTCTCAAATCATTTGAGGCAGAAACATTAAACATGGCAGCACCTTGGAGCTGGTGCTTAGCCACTTCCCCAGAACCTTGGCAGCTCATTGTGCTACCCTTTAACCACCTCTCTGGGACCATTTCATTCATTGTTAGCCAGAACTGAAGATCTGCCCGGCAGCAGAAGGGATCTTACGTTGTTAGAATGTCTCTCCTGTGTTGTTAAAAGCACATTCGATCCATCAGTCCTGAATCTTCATGCTTTAGTCATTTGATAGAAAATTCAAATCTGCATAGCTAGGAGTTCACAGTTCACCTTTATCTGTTAGCCCCTTTCCCCTACTTTGAGAAGATGATAGGTTATTTCTGAGATATTGTTCCTTCATATCTGTGGTTATCCCATGTGGCTCAGTGTAGATTTGTTACATGAATGACAAAGCACAGAGAATGGTGCTCCCCCATCACATAATTTCTGCTGGTAAAAGATGAATATATCTAATCTTAAGTCCTGTTGACATTAGTTTTGGATTGGCTTTCTAAGAAATCAGAATTGCCATTTATTGATTTAAGTTCATATAGTTTCAACATATAAAATAAAAAGACATCGTTAAGATATTGTATAAGAGGGGTTGGGAAATGGCTCAGTCAGTAAGGTTCTTGCTGTGTAAGCATGAGGACCTGAGATTGGATCTCCAGCTCCCATGGAAAAAGCCAG